TTGTACCCTACCTTATTAAGATCCACTTGCAAAAATCCTGACTTATCCATTCGTATGCCACTATTATTTTCAACCCACTTGCATTCAAAGATAGGAATCTGAAACTTCTCATAATCAAACACCCAAATGCGCTCGATAACCCCAAAATACGACAGATTTGCATATTTGTGGTTTAAGTCCTTCACACTTGAAATGTGCATTGTTTCGTCAAGCACGACGACACCACTATTTTGCATTGTACTTCTATCATCTTGTTCTTTGGTATAAAATGTGTATCCATTAATTGTGTATGCGCTATAAGAAAACACATGCAAACTTGGACCATATGCTAAACATCTCAACCTTTCTGTTATTGAAGCGGGATCAGAATAAAACTTTGAAAATATATGATCCTTGAACCATGTTATAAAACTTCGATTATGCTCACGTACTATCCAATTTTCATTTCTATTCAGATTTTTAAACCTCAGAGAACGTCCTTGTGCATTTCAACATAGGGCTCAACCTCAATGTCATTGTGCAGAACATACAAATGCACTTGCTCTCGTTCATCCCTTGAAATTGTCATAACTTTATTTCCAATTAACTGTTTTCCTACTATTTTTTCAACAACATGAGATTTTGGGAGGCCAATGGATTGAACATTGGACAAATATTCAGTACAAAACTCAATCGCTTCTTCAAAAATGTGTCGTTCAACAATACAACCCTCTGGTCGACCGGTTTTTCACATACCCTTTCAATATTTTCATATAATGTTCAACAGGGTACATCCATCTCATAATCTGGTCCACACAATTGTGTCTCTTTCATAAGATGAACAACTAGATGTACCATTATGTCAAAAAATGATGGAGGAATATACATTTCAAGCTCACACAAAGTAATAACTATTTCTTTTTGCAATGGTGGTAAGATCGCAGGATCAATCACCTTACTACAAATTGACCTGAAGAAAAAACACAATTTAGTTATTGCGCTTCTCATTTTTCTGGAAAAATAAAATGTATACCTATTGGTAGAAAGTGTTCCATTATAACATGGCAATCGTGTGTCTTTAAACTCTTTAACTTGAGGTATTTCATAGAAATAAGTCTTCTAATATCTGAAGAGTATCCTTCTGGAACTTTAACTTCACTTAGAAACATACACAATATCTTTTTCTCCTTTCTAGATAAAGTATAAGCAGTAGGTGGTAGATATGCTCAATTTCCTTTCTTCAAGGGTCCTAATTCATTTCTTATTCCCATCGCTACCAAGTCCTTTATTGCTTTAAGGTCATCCTTATACTTTCCTTGTATATTGAGTAACGTACCAATAACACTTTCAAATACATTTTTTTCAATATGCATAACATCAAGAAAATGTATTACATACAACGACTTCCAATACGGCAACTCAAAAAAAAAATTGACCTCTTCTTCCACCCACGCGTGACAAGCGTATGAGCAAAAGGCTTGCCAAACTTAGTACTCACATCTTTCACCTTTTCAAAAATTTGTTCACCGGTCAATGTAGGTGGAGCTCTACCTTGTTCTGAATTTCCATTGAATGCATTTCTCCACCCACGGTAGTGATGATTAGAATTTAAGAATCTACGATGACCAAGAAAGACATTCTTCTGACCAAATTCCAATAGGGTCCAATCTATGTTTTCTTCACAGATAGGACACGCACATTGACCTTTAATGCTATACCCCGATAGATTTTTGTATGCTGGAAAATTATTAATTGTGCCAAACAACATCGCCCTCAAATTGAAACTTTATTTCCTATATCCATCATAAACCTCCACACCGTTCTCCCGCAAACTCTTTAAGTCTTCGATTAAAGGTGTCAAGTATACGTCTATGTCATTCCCTTGTTGTTTAGGGCTAGAAATTAACATAGATAACATCATGTACTTACGCTCCATACATAGCCATGGAGGTAGGTTATAAATCATAATAATTATAGGCCATGTCGAATGTGAGATACACTGTAGACCATGCGGATTCATTCCATCAGTTGATAATGCCAAGCGAAGGTTTCTAGCTTCTTCTCTAAAATCAGGATACTCATTATTAATTTTCATCCACTGTGGTAAATCTTCCGGATGTCGATACTTCCCATCTATAATTCTATCATCTGCATGCTAAGTCAAGTGTTTTGCATCTGTTTCACTACGAAACATACGTCTAAATCTCATAATTATAGGAAAATACCATAAGACTTTTGCTGGTGACAACTTTTTCTTATACCGAGATACACCGCATTTAGGACACTTGTTTAATGATGCATATTCATTTCGAAACAAAATGCAATCATTTGGACAAGCATATATCTTATCATAGCTCATGTAAATAGAGAATAACATTTTTTTAGCTTCATAGGTTCGATATGGAAGAACATTATCCTCTAGAAGCATTTCTTTCATAAGGGCTAATAACTCTGTGAAACTTTTATCCGACCATCCATTACCCGCCTTTAAGTTGTACAACTTTAATACCACAGGCAATCTTGTGAAAGTAGTGCAACCTTTATACAACGGTTTCTCTGCATCGCTTACCAACCTCTCAAATATCTTAGGACAATCCTGAAGATCTTCTTCAAGTGCTTCTACAATCTCTTCGACTCGATCACAATCATATGTATCTCTGCCATTGTCATTTGAAGCATATGTCGTATTATCCCCCGGTTCGACATTCTCGTTACTTATCTCACCATGTAATGTCCAACATGTATAACTTTGATCAATTCCATGTCTCATTAAATGAGATTCCAACTGAACAGCGTTAATCCGACGTCCATAACAACAACCTAAGCAAGGACATGCGATCCTACTGGGGTCTTTGGCGTGTTCAATAGCAAACTTAACGAATTTTGATACCCCATTCTCGTACTCTTTTAACAATCGATTAGAAGACATCCATTTTTTATCCTTACTAATTAAGTAGGCTAAACTAAACTAAGAAAGCTAAACAAAAACCGCGAATACCTATAGCACCTGTAGAGAAATCACCAACTTCTAGAACTACACAGTAGGATTCTTGGAAACGATCACAATCTTGCTCTTCACAGGTAACCCCTATAACAGACAAAACTAACATCATCAACATTAAATAATTCTTGGAAACGATCAAAATTAACAGACATAAATAATTCATTTACTTTCATCAACAACATCAACATCATTAACATCAACACTAACAACATTAACAACAACATTATCGTTACTTAATTCAAGTTTCCATCAACAACAATAACATTAACATATATACAAAATTAATACATTTGTTTTCATCAACATCATTAATATCAACACTAACAACAACAACATTTGTTTCTATCAACAATATCAACAACATCATTAATATCAACACTAACAACAACAACAACATTAACATCATTTGTTTCCATCAACATTATCATTTTAACATCAACAACAACACTAACAACAACAACAACAACATTAACATCAACACTAACAACAACAAAATTATCATCATTTATTTCCATCAACATTATCATTTTAACATCAACAACAACACTAACAACAACAACATTAACATCAACACTAACAACAACAACATTATCATCATTTGTTTCCATCAACATTATCATTTTAACATTAACAACAACACTAACACGCAACAACATCATTTGTTTCCATCAACATTATCATTTTAACATCAACAACAACACTAACATGCAACAACATCATTTGTTTCCATCAACAACATCAACAACAACATTAATATCAACGCTAACAACAATAACTTCAACATCATTTGTTTCTATCAACAACATTTTAAAAAATCTTCAAATACCTTAAAAATGGTGGAAATGGTTGACAGAGGAGGTGGAGGACGAAGACACACGGACGAAGGCAGAAATGGAGAACACGACGGACAACTACGGAGGACGACGATGGATTGTGGCGGTCGGACGAACGCAATGAACGGAAGTGGTCGACGGAGGGAGTAGGGCACTATCGTGAATGGGAGCGAAGGTTTAACAAAAGACTGTTCTTTTCTGAAAAATTCTAAGTTTTTTTAAATTTATGCTACTTAAACATAAGGTAGCGCTTTTGCATGGCCTTTAGCAGCGCTTTATAAAAGCGCTTTCTAAGGTCTGCCTTAGGCAGGCCCTATAGCAGCGCTTTTATAAAAGCGCTTTCTTTTGTACACTTTTTAGCAGCGCTTTTCTGGAAGCGCTTTCTTATGTACCCCCTTTACTGCCACCTTTAGCAGCGCTTTTAGAAAGCATTTTCGTAGGTTACCCCTTTAGCAGCACTTTCTAAAAGCGCTCTCGTAGGTACCACATTTAGCAGCGCTTTCGTAGGTACCCCATTTAGCAGCGCTTTTTATAAAACGCTTTCTATTGTTAGGCATAACTGCCACCTTTAGCAGCGCTCTTCTAAAAGCGTTGTCTAAAGTCATCTCTTTTTTTTCTTTTTTTTTCCCGACTCTTTAGCAGCGCTTTTACAGAAAGAACTGTCTTTTCTGCGCTGCCAAAAGTCATTTTTGTAGTAGTGTAGAACGTTATCAGGCAGACGTGGACTTACACCAAATTTTGAGGAAGGAGTTAAAGGGTTTATCACGTGGGCATTTGCACAAGAATGTTGTCGACATGAAGGAGGAGTAAGATATTCTTGTCTTAAAAGTGAATGTAGACCTATAATTAGTGACCCAGAGGAAGTAGAACGTCATTTGAAGAGGTAGGATTTCATTAAAAATTATTGGGTTTCGACATATAATGGAGAACAACTGCCGAGTAACGTACATGCAGAGACAACTAATACACACGCATCAAGAAGTCAATCACATATGGAATTTGAGGAACAATTTAATCTGATCAATGATATGGTTGGCAATGCATTTAGAGTAAATGTGACATATGATGAACCTCAAGATTTTGATGGGGAAGAGTTGTCGAATGAGGAAGCACAAAGATTTTACCAATTGTTGAAAGAAATGAATACACCATTGTTTGAAGGGTCGAAAGATTCAAAATTATCAATGTATGTGAGATTATTGGCCGCAAAGTCAAATTGGAATGTTCCTAATCCGTGCTTGGAATACTTTGCAAAAATGATGTTGCATGCGACTCCTATGAAAGACAACTTGCCTACAAGTTATTATAAGACAAATGGGTTGGTGTCAAAGTTGGGTTTAGAAGTACGACAGATTGATTGTTGCATAAATGGATGCATGTTGTTTTATGAAAATGAGTTTCGTATTAATGATGAGGCGCTGGAGAAATATAAGTTCTGTAAGAGTCCAAGATATCAAGTTCGTAGTAAAGCCATTAATCATAAACAAAAACGTGCATGACAAAACTATACATGTTTTTGACTTGCCTCATTCCAGGACCGTCAAGTCCTAAAGCCGGAATCAATGTTTATTTACAACCTTTAATAGATGATTTGAAGAGGTTGTGGATTGGAGAATGGACTTATGATATATATTACAAACAAAACTTTACTTTGCGAGCTATGTTGATGTGGACTATTAATGACTTTCCTGCTTATGGAATGTTATCTGGTTGGGGTACCCATGGCAAAATGGGATGTCCACATTGCATGGAATTTACAAAGGCTTTTACTTTGGAATTTGGAGGGAAAAGTTTGTGGTTCGACTGTCACCGCAGATTCCTACCACGAGACCATGTCTTTAAAAGAAACAAGACTGATTTCAAAAAATACGTACGAGTAAAAGATTTACCTCCTCCTTGATTGTCACCAGAGGAAATATGGAATCGAGTTTCTGAACTGCCAAAATACACAGATAATGGTGAAGCATGCAGAATTCAAGGATATGGGGTCAAACACAATTGGACAAAAATGAGTATATTTTGGGTCCTCCCATATTGGAAAGATAATTTATTGCGACATAATCTTGATGTTATGCATATTGAAAATAATTTCTTTGATAATATATTTAACACAGTAATGGATGTTCAAGGCAAATCAAAAGATAATGAGAAGGCTAGAAGGGACATGGAAATTTTGTGTGATAGAAAAGACTTGGAGTTGAAGCCTCGGCCTAATGGAAAATTATTAAAACCTAAGGCTTGTTACAGTCTAACTTCCCAAGATGCCAAAATTCACAGATTATGGTGAAGCATGCAGAATTCAAGGATATGGGGTCAAACACAATTGGACAAAAAGAAGTATATTTTGGGACCTCCCATATTGGAAAGATAATTTATTGCGACATAATCTTGATGTTATCTATATTGAAAATAATTTCTTTGATAATATACTTAACACAATGATGGATGTTCAAGGCAAAACAAAAGATAATGAGAATGCTAGAAGGGACATGGAAATTTTGTATGATAGAAAAGACTTAGAGTTGAAGCCTCGGCCTAATGGAAAATTATTAAAACCTAAGGCTTGTTATAGTCTAACTTCCCAAGATGCTAAAGCGATTTGTCGATGGTTAAATGAATTGAGAATGCCCGATGGTTATGCTTCAAATTCAGCAAGGTGTGCTGACACCAAAACTGGGAAGTTGCATGGAATGAAAAGTCATGATTGCCATGTTTTCATGGAACGATTGTTTCCAATTGTTTTTAATTCACTACCCAACCATGTGCTATATCTGCTAATTAAAATAAGTCAAGTTTTCAGAGATATTTGTGCGTCAACTTTAAGAGTCGATAGCATCATTAAGTTGGACCAAAATATTCCAGTTATTCTATGCAAGTTGGAACGAGTTTTTCCACCTGGTTTTTTTGACTCTATGGAGCATCTACCTATGCATATTTCATATGAAGCCTATCTTGGTGGCCCCGTTCAATCAGGGGGATGTATCCCTTTGAAAGATTCATGGGTGATTCAAAGCGATCATTGAAAAATAAAGCTAAAGTTGAAGGATCAATATGTGCACATTACTTGCATCGAGAAACATCACATTTTTGAAGTCATTATTTCAATCATTTTATGTTAACTCCAAGAATCATAAGGAATGAATTTGATGTTAACAAAAGAAGTCAGTTTACCTTGTCAATCTTCGATCTTCCCGATCCCCCCTCTGGAAAGGAGAATGTGCATTGGCTAACCCAAAAAGAATTGCAATCTGCACATGTTCATGTTCTAATTAACTGCATTGAAGTTAGGCCATATCTTGAGTAAGTATACCCCTAAAGTAACTACATATCTGGCTTTACAAATTGAATTATTACATTCTAACTAATAGTATGTTTCTTTATAGGGCATTTAACGCCTCCTATTTTCAAAGCACCGATGAACAAGCAACTACTGGTCACATACATGCATCTTTTCCAGCATGGTTCAAGGATCAATTGTCATGCATTGTTGCACCGACTCAAGAAATAATTCATTTGAGAAACTTATCTAGAGGCCCTGTTCAAAGAGCAATTGAATGGCACACATACTTTGTGAACGACTATAAATTTCACACCCAGGCTTGGACAGGAGGGAAAAACCATAAATAGTAGTGTATTTGTTAAAGGAGTTACATATGGTGGTGAAGACGACTTCTATGGCGTTACGCATATTTACGAGTTGGCATACAATTACTTGGACTCAGAAAATAGAGTTGTCTTGTTTTATTGTGATTGGTATGATCCATCTGCCAGGGGCACAAAAATAGATAAGAAGTATAACATTGTTGATATTCGAATGGACAGAAGGTACAAAGAGTATGACCCTTTCATAATGTCACATATAGTTAAACAAGTTTATTATGTTCTGTACCCTTCAATTCAGTCATGTAAACGTGGATGGTGTGTTGTAATCAAAACAAAACCATTGGGTCATATTGAAACTGACGATCTAGTGGAAGATGGTGCTTACCAAGACGATGCAATTTCTCAAATTAATGATGTAGTTGAAGTTGAAGAAATTACAAATTTGTGTGATACGTTGGTCGAGGGTCATCAAATTGACGCATTTGTGTTGTTGGTATATAATAATGTAGATGAAGAGCATGAAGAGTTTGGATCTGAGGACATTATTGGATCAGATGATAAAAATCATATGGATGAAGAGCATGAAGAGTTTGAATATAGTTTTAATGTGTTCGAACAATTTTTATTAATGTATTATTTGTTTTATATGAATGCAAATGATTTTTACGTAGTGCGTGTATATATTGCGTTGATAATAATGTTGATTTATTTATTGATAACTCTTTCAAAATAGATAGAATGTCACCCCGAACTGACAAGGGTAAGGCTAAGAAGACCCAGCCCCGTTCGAGAGCTAGAGTACGTGAGGTACCTCTCTCGCCCATGTATGCTTCTCACTCACACAGATCTAATGTTTGTAGACACTTCACAGCCATTTACGACATTACTTTCCTCCTCCCAAACGGTTCCATCTAGGAATCCATCTTTTATTAGTCCGTTTGGTGGATCCTTCATGCATCCGCTTGGGGGATCTAATTTTCCTCAGGTACCGTCTTCGTTAACGCAGTAGCCTGGGGGGATCTAGTTTTCCTAGGGGATCTAGTTTTCTTCCTAAAATTTTTCCTTCACACAGCAGCCTAAGGGATCTAGTTTTCCTTAGCAGACTTCCTTCGCACAGCCTGGGGGATTTGGTTTTTCTCAGCAGTATTCCTTCACGCTGCAGCCTATAGGATCTAGTTTTACTCAGCAGATCGACTCCCTCCACGCACCAGCCAGGGGGATTTGGCTCCCGCATTCCATACCCCACACATATACATGCGCATCAGGAGCAGGATGACCACCCTATTCAGGAGGATGATGATGTTCATGAGTGTCGCTACTGCGAAAACCGGCGCCGGCTGAACAGAAGAGTCGCCACCGTGCGTTATTTATCCCCACGAAGGCAAAGGAAACGCTCAGAGTAAACCTACCGCAAAGACGGGAAAGGAATGGTCATCGCAACCAAATCCTGGATTCGGGAGTCGGTTACGCAAGGGGAAGGTATTAGCACCCCTCACGTCCGTCGTACTCGACGGGATCCACGCTTGTTTTCGGGTATGGATTGTTACTTCTATCTAAACTAAAGGTTAAGGGTTAAAAGAAAAGAAAATGACTCGGCAAAGTATCGCACTTTATGCCTACGTATTCCCGTCTGGAACGAGAAATCAGAGTCAACGTAGTTCGCCTACCTACGGGAAAGGAGGGGAAGGTTTCTCGCTAGGATATCGCATCCTATGCCTACGTACTTTCATACAGCATGAAAGATCAGAGCAAACGTAGTTCGGGCCACGTACGACACAAGTCTGTCTTGATTGTTTTTATTTCCTTCTGAAAAAGGGTTTTCCTGATTAGCAGTCCAAGCGGACAAAAATGACGTTTTGATGAGTTCACATTCTTTTACGGAAGAAGTGTCTTTTATTGTGTTTGAAATATTTATTGTGTTTTTCTGTTTGTTTTGAGAAAGAAGAGACAGAACTATAACCTATGGTTGAAAAGGGAATCAAACTAACCTAATGTTATCATGCATGGGTTAATACCTAATGTCTATCATGCTCCTCTCTTGTGCAGAGAGAAACAAAGATTCTAAGGGATAAACGGATACAGAAACAATAGCAAATATATAACAAAGCAGCAAAATGCATGGATGCAACAATACAAGCGAGGCAAGGGAGTCTCACTCAACCTCGAACCTAGAAAACAATAGGCAAAAGTGAACAGGATTCACTTTCAACCTAACAGGGTAAACAGCAAGCAATACAGTCAGGGAAAACCAATCAATACATCAAGAATGAAACAGCTAATAATAAACAGCAATAGCAGCTCTGCATCATCATCTGTCTTCAAGTCATCTCCAAACAGCTACAAGCTTCAAGCAATGCATCAATCTCCATCTCCACAGCCTTCAAGCAAGGTCTTGATTATCAGTCTTCAATCTGCAATGGCTTTTCTTCAAGTTTCAATCTCCAAGATGAATATCAGTCTACAAGATGAAATGGATGTTAAACAGTCAATTGCCTACCAAGGGTGGCTCACTGACTGTTAACATGATACTGATAGTTTCCCCTCAAAAGTTCTATCTTTCAAATACATTCACTAATCCTTCCAAAGGAAGGAGGTGGATATTTGAAAGAGACTTTGAATCATAGAGAAAGAATGGAGGCAGACAAGACCTTCCATATTTGTGAATCAAGTTTTCTACTCTAGAGCTCTGCCTAGCTCCTAAACCCTATATTCCTCAACAGCTGCCAGCAAGAAATACTCCTCATCAACTCTGGAAGTTGGTCTTCAATCTCTTTGATCTCCAATGGCTTCATCATCACAGGGTCTTCAGCTCCCCCAATCCCCAAGCAAACCCAATACCCCACACAGACAAATGAAATAACCCTAGAGAGGGCACACCACACAGTCAAGCAAATAC